TAGAGTATATTTTCACACGATCCTTGACCATATTTCTTTCAATTTTTCGATTCCGACTTATAATTTCATATTTTAACACATGCTCATTAGTTAACAGCCTATTTTAACTAAATAAAATAAACTAATAAAGCTCGAAAATTGGAAAATAACCAAAATTTATTAGTTTTTTTTTCTTCTATTAATACGAAAAAAAAATATTTATGTCTACTGAGAATTATTAATATACAGTACTGTCATATTTCTGTCAACAATCAGTTTATAAATCTATTATACGTTTCACTGGATACATATTTTTAAAATATATATTAATCAGTTCAATTTTAATAACTACATGGTGTTTATTTTCTGTTTTATTTTTTTGTACAGGGTGAGTCAACTTCATTTTATTTCGTGTTTTGAAAATCATAAAAAAATGTTCAATAGGAAATTGATTTCGAGAAGTTAAGGTTCAAAATTTAAAATTATTTTTGACCATATACGGTGCTTAAAAAAATCGTGACATATTCAACATATTTTTTTTAAATTTTATAAACACCTTTTTCAATTAAAAATGCTGTCTATTATACCGGGTGCGTCTCAAAAGTGGCTCACCCTTATAATTTTTTTATTTTTTCAGATACAATAACGACATTTGGTATGTTAGTTGACATAAATTAAGATTGATTGACATATTTAATTGTTTCCTGTCACTTCCGGTTTCACCGGAAATGACTACAACTTTTGATTCTTAAATGACACCCTCGGTATTTTTTTGCTTTATTTGTTAGAAAATAAAACACTCCGAATAGAATGACATATCATATGTCAACTTTTAACAATTTCGCATATGGTTTATTTGAAATTGTAACATGCGATTCATAACGACAATTTCACTCGAAATACCAAGTGTGTGGTATCAAATTATTCGTAAAAAAATTCTTTTTCCAAATGTGCTTATGAGCCACCCTCGTTCCATTTGAAAAAATTGGGATATGATTAAAAATACAATTTGGGCATATTTTAACCGGAGAGGACAAGACACTAAAAACATTAGACAATAAAATCTATTTTTCCAAGGATCCTTGATTAAAAATTAATGTTTTAACAAAGTCATGGCACTCTACATTGAAATTTAAAATACAATTTGTTTTTGAGGGCATATTTTTTTCTATTGAATAAAGTAAAAAAATATCGAGGATGCCATTTAAAATTCAAAAGTTATAGTAATTTCCGGTGAAACAGGAAGTGACCAAAAACAATTGAATACGTCAATCAATCCTAATTTATGTCATATACTAACATACCAAATCTCATTTTTTTATTTGAAAAAAATAAAAAAGTTATAGGGATGATCCACTTTTGAGACGCACCCGGTATACTGAATCAAAATGTTGAGATTTAGGCGGAAGTTTGAAACATCCTGTGGAATCATTTAACAAAGTAAGGAATTTATAAACCATTTTATCGTCAAAGTATATCTTTTCTCCTTAGTTTGATTTTTGATACATCTCAATAGCTTTGTTTTTGTTGAAGAGTTTTGCTTTTGAAGAATATGGTAACGATTAACAACAAAATTTAATTTTAATCTTAATCTACACACAGACTCGACCTTAAAACTACTTATTCATCATATCGTAGAATGTAGAATGAATGAGAGCAGCGGACGAAAAAACGCGCGATGTTTGTTAAATTGTAAGACAACGCCCCCTAGCGTCTACGTTCAAAAGTTTAGTATTATTGTTTATATGGTACAATATAGAGTAAGAAACGCTCTTTTAAACGAGCCCTCGCTTGTTAGATTCCGATCGTCCAGTCCAGAGTTATTAATATTTAAATAAAAACAGATCTAACCTTCCCCCACCACTTTATTTTAGTGGATAGGGGAAAATGGCTCTAACAAAAAATATTCAAAATTTACTGGAGATTATGAAGCTATTACTTATAGTACACCTTATCTAGGCAAAATTGTGTAAAAACTCCATTTTCTTATTTTTTGTTGCAGTTGCGCCCCCCTAGCGGTCGTTCTACAAACTTGAAAATAATTTCCAGCAATTTCTCATAGACTCTTTAGTTATAAATATTTTTTTCCGCAGCCTCTACGGCTAATACTTTCCGAGATACAGCCGAGAGCTATCCTTAGTGGGACACCCGGTACATTACTTTAATTTGTGCTAAATTCATTTTGAGACCTACTTTATTGCTGGCTGTATTTAGTTCGTTAATTTGTGTTTGTAGTTCTTCAGGACTATTGGCAATTAGGACCATGCCATCAGCGAATCTTAGATGGTTAAGATTACTTAAGTTTATCTAATACTTGCCCTTATTTAAAAAAACACCTTGTGTATGTTTAAAATTAATAGATACTTCTTTTCATTTATATATTTTCTGGTTGTATTAATTTTTTACAAATTATTTTCTCATACCAATTTATTTTTTTTATAATTTCATTTACGAACTAAAATGCATTCTTTTATCATTTTTCTTCAACTCCAAATGAAATTTTCTACTACAATATGACAAACTACGTTAAACTGGGTCAATTCTGTCGGAAAAATAATCAACACTGGCACATCAGTCGCCAATCACAGTGCCTTGTGGCGTCGTGCCAAAAGTTCAAGTTACACCTCTTGCCAGTTTAGATTTAACACATTTTCTCTCAAAGCAATAACATTTAATTTGTCATAATACTAATGTAATTATGATAAATTAAATGGCTGCAATATGCACATATGTATATACCTACGGATATATACGGAGTGATTCATAAGTAATCTAATAAATTTTAGGAAATTGTTTTCTCCTTAGCTTTTCTATATCTAAAAATGTTCATGTACTTTAAAGTATAATATTTTGTTCTAGTTATAACTGAAGTATTTGACTTTTTAGTCTTTTTTAAACTAAATATAAAAAATACTATATTGTGTCTATTATACGAGGGAAAATCTAATAAATAACACAACACTGATGGAAATAGTAGAAGAATATATACAGGGTGGTCCGAATTGTATTCCGGAAACTTCGGCAGCATATTCTGCAGATCAAAATAAGTAAAAATATTCGTATATATGTATGTCCAAAAATGCTTAGTTTCGGAGATACAAGATGTAGAAGTTTCATTTTTATTTCGATTTTTTCCAAATAATTTCTGCAGTAACGTCAATATTTGGATTAAAATTGGTGTCTGGGAGTTTTTTGACATGAGAAATTTGATTTTGATGTCAATATGACTCCTACTAGTAGAGGGCGCCACCTTTTTTAATTTTTAACTGGTTTGAAGAGTAATAACTTTTCGTCCGTACCTGTATAAAACTACTGAGTAAAAAAATATACATTTACGACGCTTTTTACGTAAAAAAGGTCTCTTGGTACAAATAGCTTCGAGTAATGGTTTTCGAGATATTTGGAATCGAAATTATCAATACCTGTCATCATTGACATAAATTACACATGTTGACTAAATAGTTATTAGACTGAGATCATAAATTTGAAATGTTTTTGTACCTAAAGTTCAATAAAAACTGTTTTATCATCATTTTTTTACACAAAAAATATGATTAATTTAAAAAAATAAAAATTTCCCAAATTTATTATTTCAGTGAAATAAAACTATCTACTCAACGTGTTTATTTTTCGTCAATAATGGCATGTATTGACTATTTCCATTCTAAATATCTTGAGAACGGTTGCTCGTAGCGATTTTTACAAAGAGATATTTTTTACGTAAAAAATTACAGAGATATATATTTTTCCCCTCGGTAGTTTTATACAGGTACCGACAAAAAGTTATTACGCTTCAAAACAGTTAAAACACATGTAGGTGGCGCCCTCTACTAGTAGGAGTCATATTGACATCAAAATCAAATTTCTCATGTCAAAAAACCCCCAGATACCAATTTTCATCTAAATATTGACGTTACTTCAGAAATTATTTGGAAAAAATCGAAATAAAAATGAAATTTCTACACCCTGTATCTCCGAAACTAAGCATTTTAGGACCTACATTTATACGAACTTTTTTACCTATTTTTATCTGCAGAATATGCTGCTGAAGTTTTCGGAATACAATTCGGACCACCCTGTATATTTGGAACAACTAATACACAGCTCGGGATATCTACTAACAAAAATCAACAGAAGAATTAAGTTAGCATGGAGTACTTATGGAAGAAACTCAATCATATTCAAATCTAGAATGCTACTTTATCTAAAGAAGAATGCATGCAAAACCTGGACATTTAAAATGGACATTATTAGGAAACTGCAGGTCGCAGAACGCTCAATGGAACGAAATATGCTGAGAATAACCAAAAAAGACCGTAAAATAATAATGTGGATACGACAAAAGACCCAGGTAATAGATGTCATCCACAGAATCAAATCTCTGAAGTGGAAATGGGCAGGACATCTAGCAAGAAAAATTGATAATAGATGGACCACAAAAATTACACCATGGTACCCACGAGGAACTAAGAGACCTAGAAGAAGACCAAATCTAAGATGGGACCATGATATTACGAAATTAGCAGGGATTACTTGGGCCCACATAGCCAAAAATAGACAACAATGGGCCTACAACTACAAAGAGAGTATCTAAATATGTGAGGGAGGCTACACCATAATTAGAAATGGTTGAATAAGCTGAAAATAATGATTATGATGATACGAGGGAAACACAAAATGTTGCTGTTTTAGTGAAAGTTTGAAGCATCCCAGAATGGTGTACTAAAGTCAGCAATTTAAAAACATCTTTATCATCCGATAGTTTGTTTTTTGATTTATCTCAATACAGTCTGTATGACTAGTAACAATTTTATTGCATGTATGTGTTTATCTATAGCTAAATATCTCTGTCACTGTTGGCAAGTTGTATTATTATTATTTGTTGGCAGCTATTCTTGCAGACATGGTTTTAAGTCCAGGAGCTATAACACACGATAAACCCTTAAAAGTGTACTTTTACTTAAATCTTTCAAACTAATCTGGTTTTTTAATCATTTTAAACTATTTTCTTTTAATTTCAGAAGTCCAAACATCAAATCCGTCTGCAAACAAGAGCACACCACTTCAAAATCCCAACCAAGGAATAGCCACACTAATTGTGATGATAGCAGTACTGACAATCATTATTTTGTTCTGTTGTTTCTCCGCACCTGGCATCAGAAGTCTCTGTAAAAGATATATCTTCAGATCGTGTCCTTATGATGATCCTAGTAGTGATAATGGTGAGTCTCGATGATTTAAAAACATTTAAATCAAGTCCGGAAGTTCCTGAAAACTTAGCGGATGTAGATAAGCTTAATATTTTTTTTTCGAAGTGTCAGAATTGCATTAATAGTACATCAAATAAAAAAAATAGATTTTTATAGACAAAATAAGCATGAAAAAATAGGGAATAATGTTCTAAATTTCAAACTAATAGATGAGGTATCGTTACATCAAATATTAAATTCTATTCGGTCTAATGCTGTCGGTGAAGATGATTTATTTTATCAATTAAAACACTAAAGCTGTTCATGCCTTACTGTGGTAAAGCGGTAATAAATATAATTAGTACTTCTATTTTAGACAATGTCTATCCCGAAATATGGAAAAGAGCTATTATAACACCTCTCTGTAAAATTTCCAAACCTTTAAATAACAACGATCTAAGACCCGTGAGTATATTGCCAGCAATTTCTAAAATTATAGAAAAACATCTACATAATCAAATTGTTTCATTTGTAGATTCAAATAAACTAATACCAGAATGCCAATCTGGTTTTCGTAAGAACTACAGCACTATCACTTGTTTACTGAAGCTGGTTAATGATATTAGAACAAATCAAGAAAATAAAAATATGACGTGTCTTAGCTTACCAGACTTTAGTAAAGCATTTGATACTCTAGACCATTCATTGCTCCTAGCAAAATTACAGTATTTTGGATTTTCAGACGGCTCTTTAGAATTGATAAAAAACCTTTTAAAAGATAGATCACGTTATGTTGTCATGAAACGGGGAAGTTTAAAACAAAAATCTAGTTATATTCCTATGATTTCTGGGGTTCCTCAGGGATCTATTCTGGGGCCATTTTTATTTTCGTTATATGTAGCTGATATGGATAAGGAATTACAGTTTTCTAAATTGCAGCAATATGCAGATGATTCTTAAATTTATTGCAAAATAGATACTAATAATTTGGCACAATTTCAGTTAAATTTTAACGACGATCTTAATAAAATTAATAAATATGCTCTGGATCATAATTTGAAATTAAATGCCGGTAAATCTTGTGTTATAGTATTTGGTAGTGATATAAACAAAATTACAAATTACATTACGGCTGGTAACATGAATATCCATATAGATAATGTTGCGATACCCATTGTTACAGAGACTAAAAATCTTGGAGTCTATTTCGATGCGAAGCTTTCTTTTCAGGCACATATAACTACTAAATTAAAGGCTGCTGATATAGGGTTGAAGAATTTTTCGTCTCTTAAGAAATATATACCATCAAAGACTAAGTATCAATTATGTGACACAATTATTTTATCTTTATTTGATTATGGCGATGTTGTTTATGGTACATCCATAAACGCTAGATTCTCTAGAAAAATCCAAATAGGTACTTCAAAACTCGTGTCTACGGTTTTCTTTTAACATTTCTTTTAGAGATCATATTACGCCACATCTTAAAAATTTATCTATTTTATCCATGACTAACAGACGACAATTTCATTTAATGACATTCATTTAGCGAATTTTAACTACATAGCAGCCTCCCTATTTGTTCTCATTGTTTCACTACGTTGACCATGATCATTCGACTAGACGAGTGCATTATTTTAAAATTCCTCAACACCGAACAGCTAACTTCCAAAAATCTTTCAGTTTCATGGCGCCACATTTGTGGAATAATATTTCTAATAACTTTAAATTTCAATCCTTTACAGATTATAAAAAACAAATTAAAAATCATTTACTAAATTCGTAAATATTATAATTTCTTCGACTGATTTGTGAGATCTTGTTTTTCTAATATGCCCGTCATTGGTTGCTGTTCCGGTTTTTACACTGTTTCATTATGCCTCTCTGCTTATCTCCGCTCATCCCTAATAAAATTATATTTTCACTTTTTTTATATAATTTTAATTTTTTTAATTTTGTTTATTTCTATAATTTAATTTATTTCTATTTTGTATTTGGGGTCGCACCACTCTGGCACTTTGTGCCATTGTATCGGTTTTTTAATCGCGGTGCGATCCCTTTAGACACACATTTATTAATATTAATATTATTCTGTAAAACTTAATAAAGATTAATAAAGGGGTCTAATAAAGAAATTTGAATTTGAATTTGAAAAACACTGTAGTGATGAACCAGACTGGTCTTGATTATTGGTCTTGCTGTTGCACAGATAGCAAAATCAAGACCAAAATCGACCAGTGCAAAACTTACGCAAAACTAAGACCAAGCATGCAAGACTCTTGGGGTCTTGCATTTTTATTTAAAATCTCATTTTTATAGGTAATAGCTGAAAAAACTATTGACAAATTGTAGAAATTCGAAGTCTTATATGAATAAACTAGCGTGTACCCGCGCCTTCGTTCGCGTCGAATTAATCATTTGTAATGGTGATGATAAAGCAAAGCAAGAATTTCCATTAACATACAAACTGGATAAAATTTTCTCACATTTATGTCAGCATGGTGGCGATATTATTATATAACTTGGTAATATTTGAGGGGTAGTTTCATCTCGTTGGAATTTGACTTTCGAAAAATCCGTTTGCCAAAAATAAGCTTTTTACGTCAAGCAGAATCGTGGTTAATCAATTACCCAACTTTTTGGAACACCCCGTATGATTTTTTAAAAAATTTCAAAATATGTAAATAAAAAAAATTATGCGTGTCCAAGCGTTTTCCCGAAAGACTAACCGTTTTTTAAATAACAAATATTGTAAAATTTGAGGGGAGTTCACACCCTCTTGGAATTTGAGATTCGGGAAACCCCTCCTTATCGAACCTCTACACTCCACAGTCAATCCGTTTTCAATCAAATCAGCTTTAGACGTCAAGTAGTATAAGCAGAATCGTGATTACTCAATGGTCATATTTTATGAAACACCCTGTATAAATTTTTAAAAATCTTAAAATATGTAAAACAACAAAATAAAATATACGTGTTTAAGCGTTTTTTCGGAAACTTGACCGTTTTTTAAATAAAAAATATTGTAATATTTGAGGGGTGGTTTCACCCTCTTGGAACTGGAATTTCGAAAAATCTCTTCTTATCGAACCTCTACACCTTATAATCTACCTGTATGCCAAAATTGAGCTTCTTACATTGAGTGGTTTGAGCAGGATCGCGATTAATCAGTATGTCAGTCACTTAAGGATTTTATATATTAGTATAGATTAGTATAGATTAGCTTCTAGTACTGGCATCGTCTTCAATAAAGAAATTTGTAGAAAATTATAGACACTTTTACACGTTAAGCAATATTTTTATAAATTGCATCTCATACTTTGTATCTCGTATTGGCCAGAGGTTATGTATTTTTGCTTGAAAACACACAAATATAAAGTAGATACGAATGTTCTTGGGTCAAAGCACTCCGATTACGACGGTTTATATTTAAACTACATGGAGCAATATCGCAGTTATTATTAACTCAGAGTAATAATATGATAAATAGGCATTAGAGTAAAATGAGTATAGACTTAATTTATTAATACCAAAACGAAAGTGTCTAGTAACTAATAAAGTGCTGAATTTTTCTCTTTCATTAAACAGGATTTGTCAGTTCTAATGTCATTTGTAATGTATGCAGTACTGCTCTCAAAGGTGAAAGACTATTATGATCATCATCATCATGACTTTCAGCTTATTCAACCATTTCTAATTATGGTGTAGCTTCCCTCACATACACACACCGGAAAAGTCTAGGGATATTACAACTTTATCCAGCCATCGTCAGTAATTTTATTATTTGCATTTCTGATATAATAAATTTAAAAAAAAACAAATAGTTTACAGGACGTATTGGAAATAAAAATGCGAAATTTACCGAATTTTTCAAATTTACCTTGATTTTTATTGAACTCAAAAAAATATACAATTTTTTTTTTATTCTAAACTGTGAATTAAAAAAAAGATAAAACCATTTTTACTTAATAAAGGGTATAGCCTCCTCGACTGTTCATTACAGCCCTACATCGTCTCTCCATGCTCCTGATCAGGTTGTCGATCTCTTCTTGAGGTACAGCCTACCACGCTGCATTCATGGCCCGAACCAGACCCCTACGAGTTTCACAAGGCATACCCATTCTCAAAATTCTTCTTTGGACCGCGTCCCATACATGCCCGATAGGGTTGAGGTCAGGAGATTGTGCCGGCCAGGATAAGATGTTTAATTGATGAGCATTGATAAACTCACTTCCCACTCTGGCTGTATGAAGCCGTGCATTGTCATGCATAAGAATGAAGTTTCTCCCAAAATCATTGGCATATGGTAACACGACAGGCTCAAGAATTAAATCACGATATGCGATTCCTGTTAGAAACCTTTCAAGAAAAACTAGATCGGTTTTTCGGCCTAACTGGACTCCCCAGACCATAACTGTTCCACCTTGATAAGGGTGCACTTCCTGAACATGATCCAACCGAATAAGATTTCCCGGCTGACATCTAGTATCTGAGTCTTTTGTCGTATCCACTCTATTCTTTTACGGTCTTTCTTGGTTATTCCCAGCATATTTCGTTCCATTGAGCGTTGTGCGACCTGCAGTTTCCTAAAGTTATAAAGTAAATGACATTCAATTATTGTTTTAATTACTACTTAACTCATGATATTTATTTATTTACACAACTTAAAGCTAAACTAAGAAATTATTGAATATTCCCTATTTTTATTTTAAGAAAAATGTTTTATAAATATATTTTTATTTTTTTATACAATAAATCTACGAATTCCAAGAAACGGTTTATGTAAGATGTGCATCCAGAATCCAGATCCAGGTGATAAATAAGTTTTGAAGTGTGCATTATGTTATGAACATGTTTTGTATGTCGAAAATACGCTACTCATAGCACGAAAAAAATGCTGTCTACCGTTTGGCAAGTGTTATCGACATTTTTCGAATTGCTGTGTCTATTTTCGGCTGTGTACATCAAAAGTCCCATTGTTTCGCCGAAATAACGCATTCACTACATCAAATTTAACAATACTACCCCATTAC